TGTAAGTGACATTGTGCCTTCAGGCGAGTCGCGTGAACATCCCGATGTGTGTATGTAATTGACTTAAGCAATAAGAAATCTATGTATCAATTTATGGGTGATACATAAATTAAATATACCAAGTTACGGTTGGGTCTTACAATGTAGGAAACTACTTATTGCAGATTATTCAATTCTATACAAATTTGCCAAAAATGCTGATTACATTCGACAAATAGATTGAATATTATTCATTAAGAATCAGTAAACAATTGTTTACTGGTACCATTCACCTAATATAATTAATTATATATAATGTATGTATACATATATGGCGCAACTTCTAAAATCGAGGATAATTATTTCAAACTTTAATGGACTTTTAAAATTAAACCACTTTTGTAGGTTTATATTATTATAATATTATGTATTATTAAAATATGATATTTGGCGAACAGTTTTGGATTTTGAAGAACCGTTTGAGGATTTTCATGAAAACGTTAACAAAAAATTTCAACTTTTTTGTTAATTACTAAAGAAACGTTTTATCAATTGGTTTTGAAATTAGTGCAGACGTCTTTCAGAAAATGCCAAATTTGACCTTCATATACCAATAGTCGTACACATGTCCTTTTTCTAATATGAGCATCAAACGATTTAAAATGACTTGTGTCGTCGTGAAAACATAAAATTTGCAAATCAAATTTTCTGTCCAAAATATTAACTTTTTTTTAGAGAAGTTAGATAATGTTACATTCTTGTCGAATGTATATTTGTTTAATCTTAAGTGCATAAACTCACAATAGACAAATAAATATAATTTATTAAATTAATTTAGAAATGTATTTAATGAAAGTAAAAGTTCTATATCTTACGCACGTAATTTTTATTCTAAATTATATCGGAGAAATAATTTACTTAATTTCATATGTGATGTTGTTTGATGAATATTTTTTTAATGTTTTATAGGTAGCTATAAGTTATCATTTATTTAATAAATTTATTTACAACTATAAATACAATTGAAATTGCTATCAATTTAACTTTTTATTTCTCTATACAAACAATAGCAGTAAAAAATTTTGAGTAAAAAAATATATAATTCTACAATATTTTGTCTCTACAATTCGGTGACAAGATAATACTGTTCTTTATGTAGGACCTATTAGTGGTCATACTTTCTTGCAAAACAATTATCTTTATCTTTAACTTTCGATCTGAGAAGTCAAACTTTTTGTTTGCCAATGTAATTATCTGAGTAGTTTTGATATGTTTCGAGGAATTCAAGATACCACATGATAGTATGAAAAGGTTCTAAAGATATTAAATGCAAACAAAACTTTTAAATTCTTTGCATTTTTATCTCTTTCGGTTCAGAACATTTTGGGACTGATTTGTACATAAGATAATTAGTTTCAGTTCATCTAACGATTAATCGTATGATTTTTGTTGCATTTATATGTTTTTTCCAGAAAATGCGATTTGCTAACTCGATGTCTCAAGTTATTCTGAATCGTTTCAAAAATATTAAATGTTTTCATATAGATTATTATAAATACTGTAACATTGTTTAATATTTATAAGAATTATATAAACTGAATCATAAAGTTAAAATTATTTATTTAAAGTATGTAAAAGAACTTTAGAACTTTAGCCACAATTAAAATTAAAACCTCAATTATTTTCGATATACAAAAAAAAAATTGGAAAAAAATTGAATAGTTTTTTTTATAAAAGCAATTATTTTGTCAAAACAAGCAGAAAGTTTTTTGAATCATTCAAATCGGATGCTTTGTTCTCTCAAAAACTCGATTTGTGCACTCTTTTATCCGTATCACCGTAATGGCTGGACCTACCTTTGCCAAAAACTAATCAGCACATCTCTCTTTCAATAGAACCATTCAAATCGGTTGATCCGTGCACCCAAAAACGTGAACAAAAAATGCTGACATACAAAACACACACACATCCATTTTTTCTGAGGTATGCCAAAATGTTCAGAAACCTTCAAAACGTGAAGATATGCAAAAATTTTCATTTTTGATTTTAATGCAAAAATTTTCATTTTCGATTTTCGGCCCAATACTATAACTACCCTACGGGAAGTTAAAAAGTATGTGTGTGAGTGAGAGCCTAATTTTGATTTTTTGTCAATATTTTCTCAAAAACGGCTGAACCGATTTTAAAAATATCTAGCTAGTGCATCGGTTTTTTATATTAAGAAGAAATTCCATATTTTTGCTATACGAATTTTCTAAGTAATATAACACAAGAACTTCTAAATTTACATTTATTATTTAAAATATTTGTTATTTTCAATAGTAGTAAAAACCTCAATTCTCTCAAATTTAAAATCTGAAAATGTTTGTTATTATATGTATGTCCTTTCAAACGAATTATAATTTATAAAAGGCTAACCATGATAAATATCAAAATATTTCAATGAATAATTACAACTTTCAAATTAATACATACAGTAAATTCAAAGAAAATAGCTAAAAAGGAGTGAGCTTGATTCGATTCTTTGGCAAATGCATAACTTATGTAACAATTGAAAAAGTTCTATCGGCTTATAAAGAAGTTACTGTATGGATTTTCACTTAATTATATATTTTCTACTTTCAATTTATAATCTATTGTTTCAATGTTATTCTAAATTACATTTTTAATTTTAGCACATGGCATTTGTTTAATTTAAAAATAGTTTGAACAGAACTTTCGCGTCCATCATTATGGCCCGCGATAGAAATCAAAATATTGAAATAACATAAAATTAACAAACGCAACACACACGAACCCATTTCTCAATCTGTTACGCTCTGTTTGACTCTTTATATATACATATATATATTTTTTTTGTTAAAATTTCTTCTTTTATATTAACATCACAAACGATTTATAGAAATCATCATATTTTATCTTGCATTATACGTACTACTCGCATCCAATTTCATTCATTTTCAGAATTTATTTGATGCGTTAAGTTAGAAAGTTGATAAGATTTAGAAAATTCATTTTCAAGCTTTCCCAAAGTCTGTTTTTAAATACGAATGCGCATATCACTAACTCAGATTCAATTTTTGATTATCAGGAATAAAATAACTTTGAATAAAAAAAAAATTTAAACAAACTTTTTAAAATTGTTGTACTAACGTCTGCAAATAAGTTTATACTTTTAAGTTTATTTTCTAATCTATGTCGATAAAAAGATATAGGATGGGCAATTAACAAATTATTTAATATGCTTTGTTTCAAAAATGAGCACGTCGAGGTGTAACCAGCCCGATATCAAGCAGTATAATATCAAATTTTAACTTCAGATTATATGTCTCAAATATAATTTCAAGTAAAAGTCTTTTTTGTGGGCATTGCAGCAACACATACTTGCCAACACTATTATTGCCACTAATCACGTGATCGATTTTTTAAGGATTTTTGGACCCCCCCTCCCCCTTGGTGATAAGTGATAATATTCAAAATCAACCCGCCTCCCCCACCAAAATCGAGAAAAATTGTAAAAATTTTGATTCTTTTTGAAAATATTTAGATTTAAAAAAAAAAACAGGTAAAAATTAAATACACTCCTTCTTAAAACCCCACATAATTAATGGACGCCCTCTTATATGATCTGCACATAAACAAGAAGGGCATGGTTGAACTCTGGGTTGCAAAAGAATGTAATATCAATCATTTTAATTTTCTTAAAATTTGATTAATTTTAAACACGATTTACAGTTTTCTGAAAATATGCCTGTTATAAGTAATACACTTATAAATTTATAATTCTGAATAACTTAATTGGTATAGTTACTAATTAATATGACAAATTTATATTTAATAAATTTGCGTGTATTAATTTATAGCTTCGGCAAAATATTAAAAAAAATGTGATTTCTTAAATTGATGATCTCAGGGTCTATGATTTTGATTTTTTATATAATTTTAGTTAAATGAACAGATTGTAGAATCTATATTTTGCATATAGTTTTTAATCGAAATATAACAAATCATATTTGTAATAATGTTTAATAATCATTTGAGCAATATATTTATTATTGTTATTATCATTATTATTATTAATAATAATTATTATTCATTCATTTATTTAATTTCTTTCTTTCGGTTTTGATTTTCAATATCTTCATCTCTTTCAATTTTAATCTAATTGTTAAAACTTGCAATAATGGAAAAAATCGAATTATAATAAAATATAATTAACAAATACTGTTACACAATTCCAATAACCTTTATATTATTAATTCTGAATCTCTTTTACAATTTTAATGAAGACAATTTTAATGTAGAAATATTATACAATCATATGCATGGTTAATTCTTAAAACAAATTAAAAAGGTTGATTTTAATCAAATGCTATATGTATAAATTATGTGATAACGTAAGATTATAAATTCTACTAATTATGAATTTTAATTAAGTAAATATCAAAATAGGTTTGTCAAATGTTTAAATAATGAACGTTAGTAAACAGTTTGAAGGTTTCATGTTGAATTTATTATATGTTTTGAAATTGTATCAATTCTAACTGATAATTTTATTGACTGATTTTATTGCTACAATTTTATTACAACGTATAAAAATATTTGTAACTGTGATAATTTGAGCAACAAAAAACGAGTCATAGACCTAATATATGATCATTTGCTAAAACTTACGATACGAAACTCGTATGAATATACATGAATTCAAAAAAAAAATTGAAAAGGGAATTTTAAGGTCAGTCCATATGAAGAAATTTTACGTTAATCACACATTTTTATTTATATTGCTGTTTTAAATCTAACATAATAATATCAGAAATGATTCAAAGGTCAGTCTATATGAAGCCATTGTTTTACACATCATGTAGTAACACATGACTTCTTATTTGCTAATCATAAAAGTTTGCCAAAATTGTTTTAAATAATTTATTAGCAAGACGACCACTAAAAAATTAAATTGTCATATTTAATTTTATTTAATGATATTATTAAAACTAATAATTTTTATTTTAAATGATTAGGCTTGTGGTATATTACTATGTTTGGCTGGAGCGTGGCTTCTGCAGGACACCAGACGTGTCCTTCTTTCAACTTTACTACTTTCTGCTGAGTCTCATACAGGTAAGTCAATAATTATTACAACCTATTAATAAAATATAAATTTATTCGTTAAAATTTAGTTTCATAAAATTTTTAAAAATATACCATTTATACTAATTTGTTCTAATTTATCCTAAGGATCGGGTTTGTTGCATGGTTTACCACAGCCTATACTGTTTTATGCTGGTCTTGGTGGTTGCCTGATTGGCCTGTACACCTGTATTGTTGCTTCAATTGGTTGCAGTGTTTCCTGCTGCTCTAAAAATCGATGTCTTGCAGTACTGGTCAGTTAAAAATAATAAATAATATTCAACAACTTTTTTCAAACTACTTTGTTTATGAAGAAATGTGAACATTTTTATTTTTCTTAAATTTTAGTACTGCTTGATGGTAACAGCTATCCTATTAGGACAAGGATTAATTTGTTTGGTATTATCTTTATGGCCTTCCTGTTTAGGATTAGAATTAGACGCCACCTTGATGGTTAGAGCATTGCAGCGAAATTATGGAATGCCTGGACAGGTAATTTATTAGTTATTATTCAATAATTTTAAATTTTTCTTCTATAAAAAATAAACTTTTATTAATGTGCAGGAGCAATATACGTTAGCAATGGATCTAGCCCAAACACAGTTCGAATGTTGCGCCATGAATGATGTGATCAATTATGATACCTCATTATGGAGATTGCAAGGAATGGGTCGTCGAGAGCTAGTTGTAAGTTTCTAAAATATTTATAATTATGCAGACAGTTTTTTCAACTTATAAGTACTTAAAATTTGTTGTTCATTTTTAGGTGCCATATACCTGTTGTCATTTATCTAATGCTAAAGATCCTGATGGCTACTTAGATCCCAAACCTGTGAATGCATCCATGTGCGAATCTTTGGATTCTGAAGTTAACATTTTTGGCAGATATCAACAAGTAAGTAAAATATAATAATCTATAACTAGTTTAATAAATAGCAATATTACATTATATTTTTCTATTTCTCCAGGGTTGCCTACCCGCCGTGGAACAATGGTACCACCAGCACTATACTATCTTCTTAGCCGGAAGTCTCATTTTTGTACTGATGGAATTTGCAGTTTTATTAAGCACCCTTCTGACTTGTCCAAGATATTCTACAAAAGTTCAACCATCGCCGGAACACCAAGCCAAACCAATACACATCATCAGTACGCCAGATGAAATTGACCAAACCTTATTCGACGATGATGTTGCTACTAGTCCTGATTTAAGCTTGGATTATATGCCACCAAGGCAAATGTCTTATAGGAAAAATAGTAATCATTACAGACCTTATACGAGACATGCCCCAGCTTTTAGCTCATTTAGAGGATATGTTGTATAAAAATTATTTAAAATATTTTTAACTGATTAAGAATAATTGTATATAAATTTTATTATAATAAATTATAAATACTCAATAAGGATATTTGTTTGAACTATTGAAATTTGAAAACTGTAATAATATATCAATAATAATACAGTCGAAATTGAACTCCAGAGCTACACTGGTTTATGGTGGCCAATAGGCCACAAATCAAAACTTGATCATAAAATTGTTAATATACAAAAAGTATACAATTGTGGAGATATGCCAGCCATATTGTTTTAATGCATAAATTCTACAATGTTGAGACAGTTACTAAACTAAGTTAACTAATGTTCTTTGGTTTATCATCAGCAACAAGTCAATATAGACTTTGTAGAGAAAGCTAAAAGATTCAGCAGTAATAGTCATTTTTAGAAGCTAGAATATCATACTATATTATGAATTAGTTGCACAATTGCTTAAAAAATCATATTCTAGAAGAAGAAAATTTTTTTAAAGAAGGAAATATCAAAGGATATGATATTCAAACGTTATAAAATGTTTATTAAATCATTTTCTATATTTACTACATTGAAATGTATTGGTAAATCACTCATTGAATTGACTACTATTTGATTTACAAAAATTAGGACAATAATTACATGTATGCGTTTACTTAAAAAAAAATCATAAATTGTTTGATAAATGATAAAAAAATAAAATAAAATATAGCAATAGAAGTAACATAAATTTCTTCATTCCCAATATTCACATGAAACAAAACAACTTGAAGATAAATTAGTACTTTCAAAAATAATGACTCAAATAATATATGAATATAATAAAACCCAAGAGTAAGTGAGATATGGTAAAATAATAATATTCATTTCATTTTATTTTACATTAGATAACTTTTTCAAAAAAACGATGGCCAAGAACGTGACAAACGGTTATTGCTTGTTATATGTCATATAAATTATTTATGAATATTTTTAATAATAAAGATAATAAAATAAATTCGAATATAGTAACTTATATAATAATATAATAGTTTTGTTTTTTAATAATTTAGTTTAGTTGTAAATTGTTTTTAAATTTTCCGATAGAGGCGCTGCTAAAGTCTTTGCACAAGGTTTTACGTTGGACATCTATTACATCTGCAGTTTATAATCTATGGGGTTGGTATAAACATAGTCTGTCAAACTGTCAAAATGGCTAACAAATAACCTCTCAAAGAATCGATATGAAATTGAATCCATTAAATAATACTATATAAGTCTTAGACAATATAATAATAATATAAGTAGTGTATTATATTAATATTTATTTATACTTATCATAAAATAAGTTCTGAAAGACGGCAAAATGTTGTCCGGGTGGTATTGCCGTTCAATGGCAAATATGCAATCGGAATCCGGCAATGATTTCGAGCAAGATGCCGAGGATGATAGAGATTTAGGAGCAAACGATTCAGACGATGATAGCAGGGATGAACAAACACCTATCGATTATAAAGTTCTTTACCATAACCTGAAAAGAAAACTGAAGTACCTATTATATGTAATAACCATTTTTTATGAGTAGCATTTAAGGTTTGATTGTACAATTATTTAAATCTACTATATTTTTCAGGAAAATGAATCCTTTCAAAGTGCATTGCAATCTTGCCAAAGACGCCATTTGAAAGTAGCTCGTGATAGAAGTTTTCTACTAGACAGATTATTACTGTATGAGAAGGTATACATTATTTCTTTACTGTATATTATTTAAGTTTATGTATGAATCATCGGCTTTTATTTGTATCAAAGACACTTCATATTTTTAATTCCCACAAGGTTTAGTGATTTACGTTATTAAAAAATATTACTGGCAAGGTATTTTTATTGTAACTTTGCTTAATAAATCATTAAAATCTCATCTAGTGCAAAGATTTTTTTTTCCGGATAATATTTGGATTCAAATGTAGGATTTAGACTTTACTTTGTGCCAAAATTGTATTGCCACTGATATCATTATTAGTTTTAAATATCAATAGGATATGGATTAACATATATAAAATCAGAAGCATATTAGTATACATTTTTATTAATGATGTAATACATAACCCTGTTCCAATAGTATATAATTATAATTTATATATCTGTATCACTTTCTTATATTTATTGTATTGATCGTTTTATACTAGTTTTTTAACTTCCCGAAGGAGAAGTTTATGTTTTCATCAAAAAATCCGAATCGCTAATTTTATGTTTTCTCGACGTTTCGAGCCATTCTGAATCGAATGAGACCAAATTTGGAAAAAGTATGTGTGTGTGTGTGTGTGTGTGTGTGTGTGTGTGTATGTGTGTGTGTGTGTGTGTGTGAACAGATTTTTGCCGTAAATCGACGTTTTCTCCAAAACGGTTGGACCGATTTCAAAAATTTAAAAGCCATTTGATGTATCTCGATGAGGACTATCGTCTCTGAGCTTTGTGCGGCGATCGGCCGGGCCGTTTCTTTGTAAATTGCAGAAAAGTGAAAAATTTTTCGTCCACGTTTTAGCCCGCAATTCTGAATCGATTCTGAAAATTCAAAAAACCGTTCGATAGATATTGGTTGGGAATCGTGCTGATTAGTTTTTGGTAAAGATCGGCCGGGCCGTTTTCTTGTAATAAAGTTTTTAAAAAAAAAAATTTGACGATTTTTATGATTATTTTTTTGACGAAAGATACCATAGTTTTCTAGGTCATACTAAAATATTACGGCCCTACGACAACTGGTTCAGCTTTAAAAATTCGTCAAAGTTTGCAAAAATCAGTATGGTCTTTTTGGCATTTGTCAAAATTAGACTTTTGATCGACGTTTTCTCAAAAACGCCTGAACCGATTTTAGAAATTTAAAAGCCATTTGATGTATTTCGGTGAGGACTATCGTTTGTCAGTTTTGTGCAACGATCTGCCAAGCCGTTTCTTCGTAATTTGAAAAAAAAGTGTTGAACTTTTCGTCCACATTTAAGCTCATCCTACCGAACCGATTTTAAAAAATCAAAAACTGTTCGAAAGATATCATTTGGGAATGATGCTGATTAATTTTAGGTGAAAATCTACCGAGCCGTTTTCTTGTAATTAACTGTTGAAAAAAAGTGTTAAATTTTCGTCCACATTTAAGCTCATCCTACCGAACCGATTATGAAAAATCAAAAACTGTTCGAATGATATCATTTGGGAATGATGCTGATTAATTTTATGTGAAAATCTACCGAGCCGTTTTCTTGTAATTAACTGTTGAAAAAAAGTGTTAAATTTTCGTCCACATTTAAGCTCATCCTACCGAACCGATTATGAAAAATCAAAAACTGTTCGAATGATATCATTTGGGAATGATGCTGATTAATTTTAGGTGAAAATCTACCGAGCCGTTTTCTTGTAATTAACTGTTGAAAAAAAGTGTTAAATTTTCGTCCACATTCAAGCTCATCCTACCGAACCGATTTTGAAAAATCAAAAACTGTTCGAATGATATCATTTGGGAATGATGCTGATTAATTTTAGGTGAAAATCTACCGAGCCGTTTTCTTGTAATTAACTGTTGAAAAAAAGTGTTAAATTTTCGTCCACATTTAAGCTCATCCTACCGAACCGATTTTGAAAAATCAAAAACTGTTCGAATGATATCATTTGGGAATGATGCTGATTAATTTTAGGTGAAAATCTACCGAGCCGTTTTCTTGTAATTAACTGTTGAAAAAAAAATTTAAGCCTTTTTTCATGGAACTTTTTTTGGCGATATACATCATGGTCTTATAGAACTTACTGTAATATTACGGCCTTACAACAAGTAGTTTAATTTTAAAAATTCGTCAAACTTTGCTAAAATTATTATCGTTTTTTTTAAAGTAGGATTGATGAAGTATATTATTTACACATTTTTTTGATCAAGTCGATTGTTTACATATATCGGGAAGTTCATGTAATTTGCCTCAAGGCTAAATACCAAACCAACTAGTTACATTGTAATTTCTTTTAGGTCGATCCCAGTTCTTCTGAGAGTGAAGAAACTGAGACATCTGATGAAGAACCTCAGCGATCAGAAACTATTAAAAGGTATCTTGTTTGCTAACATTTATAATATTACATTACTAAAATTACTATTAATACTAAAAATACTATTAATAATATTTCTGCAGGAAACGTGATAGTTTTCAATCAAGCAATCATGGGTCTGCACAGAACGTAAACATTGGAAAACCACAGCCTCCTCCTGCTAAGAAAAAGAGGACTATACCTGTTAAACAAAATCGGCAGGTCAATGTGGCATCCACACAAGTTAGAACACAGGTATGTGAATTTTTTTTCTTCACAAATAACAATAATTACATTATCTGTTTTATATTTTTAATAAGATATATATGTTTTTATTATTATAGCAACCTGAATCAACACCTCCAAGGGTGACCTTACCAAGTATGTCAACAATAACAAACAGCGGTGTAACTCTGTCAGATGGTCGGTTAACAGCAGAGGAAGTTGAACGGCATTTGCAATCACGCCAAAGTGGTGGCTATCGTGAACTATTATCAGAAAGAGCTCCACCTACAGTTCCCACTGAAATGTTCAGCAATGATCCTTCTCTTGACAGGTAATTTCAGTTTTTTATCCAAATAATTAACATTTCATCAAATGAAAAATCAGATGAAAAAAATTAAGCAATATGACAAGGAAAAAATGACATCGTCTTGAAATTATTTAATAGACTATTCAAATATCATATTAATTTCTCATTTTTAAATCTCTTAAAATTTTAATCTTAATATTTTAGTCAATATAATAACAAAAAGAGCAGTATCTCTCATAAACAAATTACATGTGTGATTACAATATATAAGATATAACAAAAATATATATATATAAGAAAAACATTCTCAAGAGAAAATTATAAATATGAAAAAAAAAATTTATAGATAATATAAATATACGATAAAAATAATTTAAACAAATTCTATAAAATATAATATAATTAAGATAATTCTAAAAAATAAACTTGCTCAAACTAGTTTTATATAATTTTAGTGAGTCTAATGATTTGTTGGAGACTTCACCAAGTAATATTGGAGAAGATTGTTTAAGTGTTGATATGAATCTACTAGGAGAATAATTATACATACATAACATTTTAACAATGTAAATTTGATATAATAATAATAATAATTTTTAGTAATACTTAATAATAATAAAATTTATATTGTAATTGAATTAAATTACGGTTTTATTTCCTTCACCCTAAGGAATAGAATATCCCTAAATAAATCTAAGGGATGGGCACCAGTAGGAATTTAAATAATATGATATTGATAATTAACAGATAAGATTATGAGCAATTAAAATATTTTGTAAATTCATTATAAACAACATTCATTTTCACAAAATTAACAGAGGTACCAATTTATAAGGTTGAGATCAAACCAATAATTTACTTAATAAATTAGTAAATTTTATGTATATTTCACAAATTAAGATTAATTTAACAATAGATTTTATGTAATAATTGATTTTTAAATTTCACTCTTAATAATAGATAATATAATTTTGGTATCAAGATTAAAGTTTGAGAAGTGGTAAATGTTATTTCCATCTTGAACTTCGTTGCCTAACATTGGGTGTTGCTTCTTGGGAAGCTTCCAATGCAGCTAATTCCTCATCAATCAATAATTCAAAATTACCAAGCTTGTCTGGACTGGGTATTTTATTCCACCGGACACTAAGTAGAAAAGAATCCCAAATTTTATGATTCCAGGTAATTTCTTAACTTTAATGATAATTAAAAATTCTATTTCATTTTTCTACTTACTCTGGTATTCCATCTGGGGGTAACACTACTGACATAATATTGTCAATCAACTTGTATTTTAAAATTCTATCATTGACGGTAGTTGATGTTAATGAAGGGGACGCATTGACCTGAAATAAGAGTTCGATATGATAAAAATTTATTTTTGTTACAAATTCTCTGTGAATAGATGGTTTATAAATGAGTAATTGAATGATTTCATCATGGTACCACTACAAACCTCTATGATATTTTTATTTATTATTACCTCTATTAACCATGGCTTAAGTTGGTTATCAATTATAATATCATATCCATAGCATTCAAAACAATGCCTGTCTGTGGCCATAACTGGTGCAACTGCTTTTAAAGAATGTGTTATAGTCCAAGATATAGTTCCAAATAATCTATCAGTAACAGCTTTTCCTCGAGTTGCTTCCAAATATAATCTTAGATTTTGAACTGACCATTTTCCTCCGTGCATAGTATTGTATTCCCCCTAAGGAATAATAATAAATAGCTGAGAAATCAGGATACTTTATAATAAAACTTGAGGTGGAAGGTAATTAATTCTACAGTACCAACATAGCATTTGCATCCAGTAATAGTAAATGATTTAAGTTGGTATTCTATACTTACTCCGTGTTTTTGGACGCTAACGTTAGTTAGATGAACATACATATTATCCAATTCGGTGACACTGGTGTCATATTTTACGGTGCAGAAACGACAGAAACCCAATCGGAAAAGGTATGCTTTAAGGGGACGAAATGAGGTCACCAGTACGTACAGGCGCAAGTCAAACTTTTTACCACCAATTAGTAGAGGATTATCAATGTACCTAAAATCAGTAATGGAAAAGATAACGAGCAATGTTGTTATATGTGAACAGTTTGTGTCTTTATATTCGGCTAACAAATATTATCTCATCTTCATTAACCTGGATATTACATAGCTTTCCTTTGTGAGCTGATGAAATGGCGTCCTGGCTTCTCTGCTCCATTTTTTTAATTTAGATAATTTATTTATGAGAAATATTCCAGCTCCCTGTGATTTACCACATGGTTTCATAATCCAGGTACTCTGAGGAGATTTTCTGTATTCTTCAACAAACATATTATAATCTGCAAAAAAGATAATATAAAATTCAATTTTGTTGAGTTTTTGTCTCTATTTATATTGCAACCTTTGGAATTATTCATATTTTTTTATAATATTCATATTTCAACATTTGGTTTGGCTTTTCCTTGTGTGTTGATTTTATTGATTTAGCTACAGTTATTCTAGTATAATCTTATTACCTGCTGGTAAGACAAAAGTGACTGGTATGAAATCCAAATGCAAATATCGCGTTCCCAAAGGAAAACATGGGGTATTGACTTCCACTTTTTCTGCAAGAGGAGAACCTTCGCGTTCCAATTCCTTTCGGTAACGTTTTATGTTCTTCACAAGCAAATCCTTCCGCGATATTTCGTAATGGTTAGGAAAATGGTTTATGATTCTGTATAAAACAAATCATGGGATTAAATTTTATGGCAATATATTTGTTATAATTAATCAAACTGTTGGTTACTGATTATCATGAAGACGGTATCCGCTATCCACACTGTATAGAGAACGCAGAGTCTGAATGCTGGACCAATAGAAATTCCAATCGTCGTCTGGGCTAACCTTAATAATACAATATTGCAATAGTGATAATCTTTTTTAATATTAACAATTTATTTTGAAACTGAATGCTAAATCCGTTCTTACAACCCATCGTTGTCTTGGGTCATATTGTTATAAACTTAGACTTAGACCTTTAGTAACTTAATAATTATTCTCAAAAATAATCTATTTGAAAACATTTAATATTCATCGAACATTTCGTAACGGTGTAAGGCACGATGCCACTACATGCATTTTAGATTTTTTGGTGTGTTAAAATAACACTTTTATAAGACCAGAAACTGCATCGAATCAATTCGTACAACTCAGTCGCCTGGACTGATTTTCTTGAAATTTTTATAGAGTGCTCTTTATAGAATTCTCTTCAGCATAAACTATAAGTGCCTCACTAAATTCTGATTTTTACTTATATTAATAAATCCAATATAATAATGAGTTAGGTGCCTTTCAAAAATTGTATAAAATTCTATAATTATTATTATACTTACTTGAATCCATCCTCTTTTTTCACAGTTATTAACTATTACTGATTTATCGGTGTCTGTGCAAAAAGCTAATCGCACCTTTTCGGCATATGAAGGTGCGGCCACTCTAAAATTAGTAAACTACAATTAGACTTTTACTTAAAAAATTGAATTATTTTGAATGTCCTTAAATTTTTAGGCTTAGTATTGAATCACGCATAAATTTGATGAGTTTTAAAAACAAATTGAGTAGGATTAAATGAATGAATAAAGATTATTTTATAATAAAATTATGTACGAGGTTGTACCTTAATTACATACCTTAATTTATAATACGCCGACAATGCAATCCTTGGCAGCCTTTGTTGGACTGATATGCTTCTGTCGATTCGATTCCCGGTTCTATTAATTTTGAATGATAAAATATATGTTTATAATTTTTTATTAATCAATGCCATGACACCAAACTATGAAACTGTAAAAATAATTTAGATAGACATACTTCTATGTTCTAAACAATTTGTGAATTCATTTTTGTGTGCTCATAAATATATAAATGCATCCAAGATATGAAATATTATGCAAATCATTAAATATTTTTGTAAAATTTCAACGAAATATTTTTATTAACATTATGAAAAGGGCGCGTACTTTGTGAAATTTAATAACTATACTTATGCCAATTTATAGGACAGACATTTTTCCAATAATTGCATTTGAAGAAATGTCGGTGGTTGTAATGGTAAATTTATATAAAATGTGCGGTTCATTATTTAAAAAAAATCTTAAAATGGTTACAAAGAAACGAAAAAATATGAAAAAACCAGAATTAAAAATAAACCAGAAATCGAATCGACGATCTGGGAAGCATATCACATTATCTACTTTTCCAAGGTTCGTATTGCCATTCTACGTTTTAAAGTGAATATGAATGAAAACTCGAAATTTACCAGGAATATTTGTATTATTAATCATCATATCAAGAAGCATTTAGCCTTCTTAATTCCTTGTTAAATATTTTTTCAACAAATTAAATTTAAAAAAAAAAATCGCACGAATTATATATAGAGAAAGGATAGTTCTAATAATATGATCGAAACAAAGAGATCGTGGTCTTTGAAGATTGTTAGCCTAAGCCTAAATATAATAGAACAAAAATAAAGATAGCACATGACATTTTTGATACTATCTCTTCATAAGAAAAGCAATTAGTATTTCTGGGTTTTTCTGGATCATGGTTTTTGAGAATTATTAGCCTAAGCCTAAATATAATAGAAAAAAATAAAGATTGCATATGAAATTTTAGATACTATCTTTTCATAAGAAAAGCAATTATTATTTTTGGTTATTATATTCTTTAATTTTAAATATTAATTAAACTCAAGTAAGCCACATAATCGATCGATTTTATTTTATCAGTTACTTCAAAAAGACTTCCAATTTAACAAGTGTCATATTTAATATCAAAAGTTATCGCAATATTTGAAGTAGGAATCATGCATATTGAAATATTGTTCACGGATTAAAATTTAGACAATTTTGGAAGTTTTGACATCAATGTTCAAAAACATGTAAACTTATGCTTAAATTCTTGTGTCGAATTCAATGTCTTACCTGCCATACATCGGGTTAGCTGTGGTAGCTCTTTTAGATTCTGTCATTTTAGAAAAATAATTGTATTACACAAATAAAACGTCAAAAATGTCATTAATTTATTTTCGTAGAAGAAAAGCCATTGTTCTGATAAAAATACAAACTTGATTGATCAATATTATTAGCATCACCGTCGGTAAGGTGGAGAAAGGTGTTCCAACGGTTTTTTAATCTATGCTGCGATTGATTTTAGAAAAAATAGTAAAAATAAATTAATCTGATATATAGAATTCATTATTTGCATTTTTCATTATTTAATTAATTAAGGTTTATATAACAATTTTTTAATTATAATATTCTTTCATCTAAGAACAAGGAAAATAACCATGAAAGTCTGATATCAAAGTCAGTCAGCTATTTAGAGTAATAGTAAATTTTAAACTTAATATAACATTTTTCATTATTAAAATAAAAAATCTGGCTGGTTCTAACACCCCATTACTTTTTCACTTCTTTTCAGTTCCTGGATCATAAAATTGGAATGATGGACAAATTTCAATGAAAATTCTTTTTTCATATTATTCATTTATTATTCTTTATATATAGCATAAAAGGTGTTTTCAAATATTTTTATTAAACTTTAACACTTTGAATATCAGAGAAAGTAGTTTTGAGTTAAAATTTACACAAGCATCATTAAAAAAGCTAAAACAATATTTAGTTTGTTTTTTATGCTGCATGCTTCAATGGATAAATAAAATGGCTTAAAATTATTTTTCAAAACCTAATAGATTCACAAATACAAATGAGGAAATATTATTAAAATCACATGTTGCTTCACAGTCACTATTGAGACCATTTAACTGATAGGTGAGCGTTCGGTTAATTTGCGCTTTTCCAGTCTACTACTTATATTTTCTGCGTTAAAAAAACTAACCAAATTTAATTTTTTAAATGATACATTTATACCAGTGACAGGTTATTTAAGTACTTTTTTAATAATGCAATGTTTACCAATGCTGTTTGTAAAGGTAATTTAAATCGGTTTATATGGTAAACTAAACACAGTATTAATAATTAGATGATTTCTTGAAAAAGTATTGAAATATATATATATATATATATATATATATATATATATTGAATGGTAGAGTCTTGGATTTGTGTATATTTTGTAGAGTTTCGAACAAGAATCCAAAAATAATACAAAATAAAAAAACAAGAAAAGTTTTTAATAAACAATTTCTTTATTTAATTATTTGTTTACTGTCAACGTTTTGGAACTAGGTACGTTCCATCTTCAGGACATCTGTCAAGAAACATGATCTTGATGAGATTTAAGCAAACAATATGTTTAGGAATAGAAAATAGGATTATTGATATTCTTTGTCGCACTTGTGGTTTCGAATATTTTTTGTGCATTTGCCTATTTTTGATATATTTCATAGCTCAGGGAATCGTTCAAATAAAAAAAAAAAAACAAATTAAATCTAACAAAACGAGCAAAGCATTCGTTATAAGGGATGTCATGTAAAAAGCTCTATGCTCATAGGAATTGAAAATGAATCATATCTAGTTAATGCAGTGGTTTTCAACCTGTTTGTACAGCACCCTCCCATTTTTTGAATAATAATGCAGCGCTTCCGATATCTCGATATACATCAAAATATTTATTCGTGTTTAGTCATTGATTTTTCATATCTATCATTTTAACGTTTTTTGAAATTAAAATTTGTAAGCACCTGTACTTCCTCTTTGCAACAATCTCGCGTTCCACAAGTTGGAAAACACGGAGTTCATGTTTGTTTTTCTTGAAATAAATAGTCGGGAATGTAATAGTGTTTCAGGTTTGGTAAATTTTGAATTTGATATATTGGGAGGATGTAATTTTTTGATCAGCTTTTATATGAATTGTCGATTAAAATGGGTAAAATTTCGCGCACATACGAGTTAAATGGTCTTTAAGGGCCATTCAAATTTAATGCATTTGTTATCTTATCTCGCCAAAAACTAGGATTTTATTTCATCAATATTATTAACACGAACCATTTCCTTAAATAAATTTCGTAATTATCACAGATAAATACATTTTAACAATTTTCATTATCTACTCCATTTTTTTCATCAATGCATGTAAATTCGAATGGCACCTCAATTAACACGTCAATCGCCACGATAATATCAGAAAATTTAACGTGTTAATATGAAGAGTATTTCATAAAAAATAATAACATTGACAATAATTATCGAAGTATCGAGTCTGTGAGTCAGAATTTTTAATCTCGTGTCAAAGTTTCAAAATAGTCGTTTGCTTCATTGACTAGCATCAGCTTCGGATGAGGTATCCGGTTGAACCTTTCTTTGTGCCCATGTCGCTTGCATTCGAGCCTCAGGTTGCTGTCGGTGGCCAGGTTGACACATTCGATGGTGTCCGTGGAACATCCCAAACACGTCCCACATACGCAATTCAGGCCACTGCCACATGATGCGTTGTAGCGGTCACATGGACCCAATGGACCCTAGATAGAAAAATTTCATGTATTTATTTTCTTAACTCTCCGTAGGGTAAGTTATAGTAATCGCAAAAAATCAAAAATAAATTTTTTTATATATCTTTACGTTTCAGAGGTTTCTGAACATTTTGGCATACTTTGTAAAAAAACGGATGTATGTATGTGTATGTGTTTGTGTGTGTGTGTGTGCGTGCGGATACAAATTTTCGTCAACGATTTTGGGAACACCGATCAACCGATTTGAATAATTCAAAAAACATTCGAATCGTATGGATAAGGAGACGTGCCGATTAGTTTTTGGCGAAGGCAGGTCTAGCCGTTCCGAAGGCAAAAAGTGCCAAAAACGGTAACTCAGTTTTTCAGAGAACGGACCGTTCGATTTTAATAATTCAAAAAACATTGTACTTTTATTGACAAGATGAACAATTGATTAAATTTTCATAAAGGCAGGTCTAGTGATTTTGGAGATCTAGTGAAAAAAGTAAGAAAAAATTATTATTTTTTAAGTATAAATTTTGTTTACATTCCTATGGATTCCGTACCAATGTTTATACGTGAGACGGCGACGCGGCGCTTACGCGTTTCGATATTTCGTCTCTATGCAGTTAAAGAAGTACGATTGCTTTGAGAAAAGTTCAGAACTTCCAAAATATTTCAAAATAAAGAAAACATTTTTTTTCGAAGTCTTTTTTCCAAAAAAAAAAATCTAAATTTTATAGTTTGTCAAAAATCTAATTTTTTCAAAGTAATTTTTTTTTTCAAAAATGTTAACCTTTTAAAAATTTTTTTTTTGGTACAAAAAGTGCCAGCAATTTGCCTTAAGGCACTATGCCATGCCCCCCACTAGGTATTCATTTATTTACTACTTTATTCACTTGTGTTAGCTATGCCTAGATGGCAACGCTGTATTATACGAATGTTGATATGAATGGTAGTATGGATCTATATAAGATTACTATGGGTGGATAATAGTAGCATGAGCTACTATTATAGATAGATATTGTGAGAGACCATTGAATATAGAGACCAATAGTGCAATAGAGATTTTGGTAATAGAATTTTGGTGATGGTATTTGTTTTTCTATTCCACATTATTAACAACTAAAATAAATTGGTCCCAAAATTTAAAAAAATGTTTTTGGTGGAGGACAACCCTTGATAAAATTAAATTGTTTTTGAAGTAAAATGCAAGGTTTTCCACAAGCTCAAGAAAATTTTAATCGAAATTCAGTAAAAAAACATTAATACATAGAACACTGGAAGCTGGATAAAAAATCATTTGATTATTAAAATCACTTTTACGAAATAGAGGTTTGTGCTAGTAGGGTTATAATTTAAAGCTGTATTAAATACTAATTATAAAAAACTGAAACAAATAGTTGGGCAAAAATAAAACATAAGGGCCACCGGTGGCCTACTCTTACCATTTAGGGGTAAAAAATAGATGTTGTCTCGAACAACTTGTCAGATTCTCATTGTCAGTTATACTGATCGTTATTATAAAATTTCATAAAAATCGGACAAACCGTTTCGGAGGAGTATTGCTACTAGCATCACGCACTACAATTTTATATTTAAATTTAAATAAAGGCATATTATATATTTCTGTTAATATTTACTTACGCTATTGCAAAATATTCCACATATATTTGTATTAAATCCATAAACGCAGTCTTCGGGATCTACTTTTGGTTGAAAATTACAAAAATGTGGTCGACGGCTACTGACGATCCATCTAGAAATAGAAATAAAAATTATAGAAAATATATATTATAAAATGTATATCATTTAATTTTATATGAGGTATGTAGGATGTCAATATGACTTATATATAAACTGGCAGAGGGGATACATTTTATATTATATGTTCAAATATTATTTAAACAATGTGATATTTTTCATAATAACATAACATTTATATACAAAATGATTTATATACATAATTGTTATGCACTATTTTTTGCATAATTTACTATATAAATTAAAAAAAAAATAATACTGAGATCACGATTGATATTGTATCAAAAAATATTCACAAAATCACTTTTACACCTTTCACAAAAGCACATAGGCAATAGTTTATTATTTGAATTGAATAAAAATACTTTTGGGGAAAGCAAGCAGCACAAAATTTTCACTGAGTGAAAATATGAGAACTTATCATTTATTATATTATTGTGTTTAGTAAATTTTTTTCCACGGCTTTAAAACTTAGAAAATTGAACTTACGCATTTGCTATCATTACGAATAATACTATAGTGATCCGGTTGCTCGTTTCCGACTGCATATTTATACCTAAATTCGTTAACTGTTACGTAATTTATCAAAAAATGAAACAATACACTGTCAGAACTCGTAATGAACGAAAAATTATTAAGTTTTCCTTTTTATAAGCGAATCAAATAATGATATTCAACAATGAGGGTTGATAGAAAAAAAAATGAATATTAATTATTCAAGGACGCATGATTTTTAATCGTTTCGAATTCATTAAGAACGCCTCACGACGGCGTGATTTTTCTTAAAATAAAAAATATATTGCTACATGGAAAGAATTATCGATGCACTTGCATAATTTCATGTCATGAGAAAAATCAGATTTCTAAAATGTTTAATGAAAATGCCATATTATGCATTGTGGTAAAATTATTTTTAAATGACTGACGGGCGAAACTGTATGAACTGAAATAGAATCTGTTGTACATGGATTTGTCTCCAAAATGTTTATCAATGTTGACAAAAAAATTAAATATAAGTTTAAATATTGCAATTGTTTAAGGTAAATTAATACATTTTTCTACACAATTTCCAAAACAAAAACGTCGAATAAATTTGATTTTTTTTTAGTTGAAGACATTTGATTTGTTAAATTAAATATCACATTCGCCATTCAAGATATGGTAGGCTTCATATTTTTTTTAATAGCTTATGATTATACTTTTTATTTTGGATAAATTTTTGGTTTTATTTTCCTTAACTAAGGGCCTCCTTTTTTTTCAACAAAAAAATTATTCATTTTTTTATTTATGATCATTTGCACGTTTTGGTGCATATGTTATATATGAAATGTTTTCCAGAAGTTTTGAAAAATTGGAATTTTGAACATTAAATAAATACTCACTAGAAATGAAATTATGTTCATCAAAAATTAATAAATTAAATTAAATTAATAATAAATTATTAAATGGAATAAAATTGAGTTATAGGTATGGATGTTGGCGATTAATTATATTGGTCTTTACTGAAAATTTAAATTATTAAAAAAAAATAGTTCAAAAATATTTATATATATATATATATATATATATATATGATTTTCGGATTCTAGGAATCAAAATAAGATACTTTGCTGAAGAAACCATACCTCTAAAATGAATTCTGATGTCCCGTGCATTGACCCAAAGATAAGGGTTAAATTTCGAAAAACCTCTCAGGGGGGTCCCAGGGGAAGAACCACGGGCATGGGTGGATCTGCCTTTCAAATTTAGTTGGGGGTTGATCATACATTTGGACCCGATTGGGGCACTCTATTTGAGTCAAAACGGAGTTTTCCAAAATTTGACCCCAGGAAAATCAGAATTCATTTTAGAGTTATAATTTCTTCAACAAAGTATCTTATTTTGATCTCTAGTATCCGAAAATCATATGTTCCTATGCGACTTTTTTAACTCATGCAAATCGACCCGCTCTAATATATAAGATAAGATAAGATAACATAAGATAAGATTTGTATATGAAAAACTTACAGCTTACAGCTTTACTATTTTATTCCACACATTTTATGTTTTAACAAGTCTTCAGTAAATTAATTATAAATTAAATTAATAAAGTTTAAGTAAACTTACAATTTGACAAAACTTCGAAGCCTTAATTTTACATATCACACTGCAAGTAGAGAAACCAGACAATTTTTTTTTTAAAGAGGGGAAAACTTCTTTTACTTTATTCATAAGTCAATTAATACTCATTTATCATTTCCCACTGAATAAAACAATTTTACACATCAATTAGAAATTTTATAACAGTGTATTTTTTATTATTGGAATTCTTTAATGATTCATTGGGTCAATAATGTGTCAAACACTAGACACTTTTGATAAGATATTTAAAATGTGTCAGTTGTCGAACATCCAAGTCCTTCAGATTTAATTGTATGGCCTAAAGTTTATCGCTATTATTAAATATATATATAACAATATCCATGATATTTACAGTTCACGACAGTGTAAATGTGTGAACAAATATTTAATTAAAATCTATTTGTTAAATGTTTGAATATGTATGAACAGAGTGTTTTACGCTTTGAAATTAATTGCTTGATAACTGTTTTATTAATTATTGGTCATTGGCATCATTAATCAATCATATGGAGACGATAACGAGTAACAAGAAAGTTTTGTAAGAAACATAATGGATTCACTAAATTTACTGCTCTAAAAATGAACAGTCGTTGTGTAATGACTATGAACGTGGGATAGTACAAACCGGTCCTGGGTCCAACTGACCCAGCTTGATATCAATCAGTATGAAATCAATTTTCCACTTGAGGTTATAGAACTCAAATGCTATATCAAGTGAAAATCAAACGCCTGTTGTGAGCATTGATAAAATTTTCTTTCAACTTTCTTAGTAGAATTTACCTCTATATTTTTATTAATCCGCTTCTTAATTCGAGGGACGACGATTAAAATATTCATCGAGTTGTCCGAAGACATCATTTGCGATCAATGATCACAAATTAAAATTCAGTCTTCTTTTTTCTCTAAGACGTGGTTTTGAGAAAACCTTTTTTAAGGGTGTCAATGAATGAACTCGACAACGTAATTAAGACGACAGTTTCTATGAAAGAGTTTTCTAAAAATAACACAGAATGAAAAAATAATCGCCAAGAATAGGGTTAGATACAATGTAGAAAGATTTTATATATTTATTGAAGAAGGTAGTAATTCAGTTGGTATTCGATATTCTGCCAGTTTAGAATAAAAAGAAGGCGTATGGTTGACTCTTTACTCAGAAGAACTCAAATAATTTTATTCAGAAGTTTTTTTAATAAATTAAATCTAAATATTTGGTAGTTCTACAATTCTCATGAAGAATCTACATGTTTTAAATAATAATTAAAATTAGTCTACTAAAGGGGTATTCCAATCTAGAAGTTCAAATAGAATTCAACAATATATGTACAAGAGTACTTTCAAAAAAAAATTTTTTTGAGGTACAGCTGTATGATTACGTTGATGCTTCTCTGTTTGCTTTTTTCATACAATACCCACGATTTCTCAACTTTTACCGAACCAATTTTCTTGAAATTGTTACAGTTTTCTTTATAGGCTTCTCATCAGTATGAACTTTATCTCCATCTCTAAATTACGATTTTTATGTTTTTTTCTAATTTGAGAATATCAAATTTTTTTTTAAAAATGGCTATTTTGTGAAAAACAATGTTTTTAAACATGTCCATAGTTCATACAAATGCGACACTATTTTAGAATAATAATCGTTCTCTTTTTATTGGAAAATTTCTAGGGCTAAAATCAAGCCAATAAATCGTGCCAGTTTATTGAGACCCTTCATTTTATCACCTGCTAGAATTAATTATTTGACTGTTTTCAATTCAATTCAATCTCATAATCTTAAAACATTAATTAATAACTTATAAAAATGGATAATATAAATATCCAATAATAGCGATTGTTTGATCAACTGATTTTTTCTCTTGTAGAGTTTGTATCTCGTATTTCTATTCATTGAGATTTAAATATATTCCTTAAATATAAATGTCGATTTCATACGAATTCTGTAATTACCGTTATTATTATTGATGATACAACTTAAAATGAGGAACCATTTACGTCAAAACAGGTACAGTTCCAAAATAACGAGGAAAGAAAAATTTTGACCTCTCAATAAAGATAATGAGACAAGTGATCGAACATGGAATAATTTCAGGGGAGCATAACCTATGTGTAACTTTTTATTTAAAAATTGCAATTTATTTTTAAGTACATTTATTGCAAGTTTTTATTTTAATAAATTTTGAGTTCTAGTTTATTCACAATTCGATACAGGTGTTAAAAACATAATTATCAGACATCACAATATTGATGTAATTATTTGTTATTAATATACGTTGCATAAAAATATTAGATTATTAACTTTATAAAAAATATATATTAAAGCTTTATTGAAATTTCTGACTTATTGTTATAAACAACTATTGGGACATATGTTGCTTATTTTCTGAGTAGGTACTTATGTTTTGTTGGTTTACTTTTATTTTGTTGATTTAATAATGATGTAACAATAATCACCGGAGATATTTTTTTAGAAAATTTTCAAAAGTATAATATAATGAATTTGAATTAAAAAGCATTAATGAAATTTTATATAATATTTAGAACTTTTATATTTTATTCGCCTAGCATGTTTGCATCAGTTTGTAATTTCTGATTTTTTGTCGCAAGGTCATGCAGTCTAGTTTACAACACAGTTTCTCCAAATAGTAATAATTCATAAACAATTCGTAAACACGAATTTTAATGTGGGATATTTAACAAGTTTGTCTTGCCTTATAGCAATTAGACTCGGGATTCTAATAAGTATATTTTAAACAAAAATTATTATTAAAAATATTTTGGCCACATAAAACACGAAATTATTTATGCTGAAAAATGGTTAAAACTATTTACTTCTAGTATTATATTTAAGCAAAGTTTTATTTTTAACTTTCCGTAGGGCAAGTTATAGTAATAAGCCAAAAATCGAAATTCAAAATTTTTGCATTTCTTTACGTTTTAGAGGTTTCTGAACATTTTGGCATACCTTAAAAAAATGGATGTGTGTGTATGTGTGAAGACATTTTTTTCTCGATAATTTCAGGCGTTTGGATGAACCGATACAAAAAATCACAAAGTATCACGTGGAGGAGGGAGGGATATAGTAAGATATCACGTATATTTATTTTTTAACTGATTTTTAAAAAAAATCAAACCTTTTGGTGATGTTTGGTGGGAAAGGAAGGTTGGTTAATGTTGAATATCACCATGTATCACCAAGGAGGAGGGAGGGTCACAAAATCCTTAAAAAATCGCTCACGTCACTAATGGACGCCGCCTAATATAAGTGAATATTTATGAAACTCCATTTAACTAATGGATAAGTTTCCTTGTTGTTCATATATTATAAAGTTGAAGAACCATTGACAAAATCTCAGGACGAGTAGTGGATATTGTAGAGTAGCACGACAACAAAAATAACAAATTTTGCGAAGACTCTTGCTGACAATAATAACATTCGCTAAAATGCTCTTCAAGTGTATCGTTGTAGTGCCTTTAGTGTTTTATTCATTTCTGATAGTTTGTTCAAATGGCCAATATGAAGTACCACCAGCTAAATTGGAGGCTATTTGGCCTAAAGGACTTAGGGTCTCTATACCAGGTAAAAAAAACTATTGATATAAATTTGTTATAAATGATACTTATTTTAAATATTAAGAAAAATGTCGCTGTTGTGATTTTTTATATTATGATATTCTCAATAGATACAATTGCCAAATTTGAAAGTTTTATTTGTGCTTTTTCAACCAATTGGTCAACGAGTACCTAGAAAAATTTAGGTACTGAATAAAAAAATATATATAAGCGTGCACTTACAGATTTAAAACAATTTTACTGTATTAAAGAGATATACACTTTTTTTAAATAGCAATAGCTTATAAATTGCTCCTAAAATAGCGCGATAAGATTAAAAAAAGTAAAAATTAAGAATTTATATTGGGTCTTTCCAAAACCATATGTGTTTACAGATTAACATTGCTAAAAGAAATTAAACATATTACATATTATGATATGATAATAAATCATAGTAATTTCCGTTCTTGATTAATTTAATTCACTGTCTATTAATTATGAAGTTAATGATTTTGTTGATTACCAAGTTCAAAACAATCCTGATTATGCGTATCTATAATTGCAAAGAAAATAATAATACATAAATGCTTACATATTTTTGTATGTACATATATAATGTATTTAATTTATGTGTGATATACAAATATAGTAAATATTCGTTAAGACGATTATAAACGGTTTAAGAACGGAATGCAGATTGAAAACGCGCCTCGAGAGGGAAAGCGTATTAAGCGATAAATTGTATTAACGTAAAGCTCAATCGCGTTAACAGGGTTCTATTGAATATCTAAATATTTGTATTTCTATTCGTATTTTATTAAATTTTTATGATTATTTGCATATATACTGTTTTCCTATATGTATAAATAAATATTGTCCCTTATCATTTGTCTTATTTGAGAACGTAATTAATTTAATTTATATAAATGAACTTTGAAATTATCGAAATATGATGAAACTGGAAAAACCACCACACATACTTCGGCGAAAAATTAGATCACTGGTAATTTTGATGATTGATCGAAAGCCAAAGTATATGTTTGATCATGGCACAAAATTGCAAAAATTTTTTGTTTTAATTTATATATGTAAATAAATTCTGGAGAAGATGAATTTTACCAACGATGTAAATTAATGGTCCTGCAAACAATGGGAGAGAAAATCCAATAGTAGTGAGTGAACATGAAAGGAAAATTAATTGGATTCATATTGGAAAAATAGTATCTTTAGATTAAGATTGCCAAGATGAGATAAAGCTCAAGATTAAAAGCATATAGCTAAGTAAGCAAAATAGACAGAAGAATAAAAGCAGAAATAGAGAAGTAAAACTTAAACTATAATTCAAAAAATAAAGAAACCTCAATGTTTTACCGTTTGGAATTGGATGCCGCAATAAAGATTTGATACTGAAATTGCACCTTGTTCAAGATGGTACACCAACTAAATTTCTTGTTTATCATTTAAATCTGTATGGGCAGTACAAAAATTTCTTTTTTGTACTGATTCTGAATGTACAAAGAATTTACTTGTGTACAAGTTTTTACTTTGTCACAGAAACTAGCTATGAAAATAACTGGTTTAAGTGCTTAAGGGAATAAATGTGGAACTACATAATAAAAGTCCTCAGTTTCTATGCAAATGATGCACCTTAGTAATAATTTTATCCCATATTGACGTCATACATGAAGAATATTGGTATTTTATAACATTAAATTTCTCATACAACGTTATAAATGATATTACTTATATCTTAAGGATTATAAGAAACTTAACTTATGTTATAAGTAATAAAATTTTAGTATTTAAACATAGCTGTAACGTAACTGGAATATTGGATGTACATTTTGAAACTTTTTTTTTAAAAAAAAACGTTATTAATACGTTTTTCACTCACTTTAAACATAATCCTTAACATTTGGTTTATACATATTATTATGATTTATAAGAACGAAACTGAATATTGCACATATACATAATATAAAATTCACGGTTTTTGTGATACACATTAAAGAGGAGCGTATATTACTTATATGAGAATATTTTATAGAATAAAATGACAAACACATATTTATAATGAGTAGATTTATATATTTGACTAATTATTTTTCTTATTTTCAAAGCCGAAGAAGGAATAACTCTATTTGCCTTTCATGGTAAATTGAATGAGGAAATGGAAGGACTAGAATCTGGTCAATGGTCACGCGACATACTTGTTCCAAAAGAAGGAAGATTTGTGTTTCAGGACAAAAATGCGAGATTGAAGGTACAAATGAAATATATATATTATTGATTAGATGATATACATGTGATTTTTATATAACAATCGTAATGAGTTGCAACAATAAAATCAATCACATTACATAGTTTTTTACTTCTTTTGAACTTATGCTACTATGCTTCCGTGTACTTGGTTTTCAATTTTCCATATTTAGTATGAAGAATAAATAGAAGGAACTATAAAATGACTGAATTTCAATTACATTAAATAAATAAAAATAGGATATTAGAGCTAAAAAACATAATTTTTGCTTAAATGAGATGGTAAATTGCAGATTGATGCACACGCCACATTTTTATCGAAATGTGCAATAATTCAATTGGCTGTTAGATATTTTCTGTATATATTTGTATGGTATTGTATATAGATTGGAGATAAAATATACTTCTGGACTTACGTGGATTATTTCAATGGAATTAACAAGTTGGGATACCGACAGGACAATGGACAGTGGACAGTTGAAGGTATTCAACTTAATTTTTTATAAATTCAACTTTATACATTTAAGCATGTTGTTTGGAATTTTTTGACTCTCAATTTTTTTTATTAAGTTTTATTTTTTAATAGATTACATAATTTGTTTGCCGCTCATATTTTGGAAAGTAGTAAAAATCAAATTTATTAGCATTTATTACGCCAACTTTGGTAAGCGCCTGGCTCCGTAATCACAAAGTCTCAGTTTATAATATAATCATAAAGCGCACCATATATTCTTCTTTTTTGTCAATGTTATAAAATAGAGATTTTTTCTCTTACTAGCTCCCTCCATAGTTCTTGTCTACTCTATTCCCATTCTTTGCACTCCATAATGGCGTGCTCAGCATCCGCCATAGTCACTCCACCCAAGCAATAGCAATTAGGATCGGTATTGATCCTAATTCTACTACCAGTATAGATAGGTTAACGTTAGGTCTATAAAAGCCAAGTATAATAAGAACGTTCAAAAGTAATATTTTCAATTTTTTATTCTTTACAGAATTTGTGTACCCCAATGGAACCAGAGTATCTCAATTTGATGTGATGGTAGAAAACAAAAACGGTAGGCCAACTCAAAATCCTAATAGTGGTGGATCGATAATAGTGATCTCAACAACTACTCCGTAAGTAAATTTTTATAACTTCAATATCTTACTTATCTCAAGTTATATACATATATGTACAGTTTGCTTTTAATTTTTCTACTTTTTTTAAAACTTTAATTATTTAGTTTAGATAGTTTTCTCTAAAATTATACTCAATATGTACAAAATAGTGGATTTTTTTTAAACAAAAAATTTGGTTTCTATCTTATTTTTAATTTTTTATTTGAATTTCATTTAGTAATTCAGTAGACAATAATAATTGCCGAGTAAGATCAGCAACTGTGTTGAATGGTGCCCATGCATGTCCTGGACAATTAATTTTCAACGAAGATTTCAACGACAGGACGATTTCGAGAGAAAGATGGATTCGGGAACACAAATTCACAGGACCACCGGTATTCTAACGGACTATGTTCTCTGCTTATATTCTAAGGACTATGTATTTTATAATTTTTTTTATAATGTTGAAAAATAAAAACTTTTGGTTATATTTTGTAGGATTACGAATTCGTTGTATACGTTAACGATGATTCAAATAGTTATATTGAAAATGGCAAGTTTATCGTCAAACCTTCATTATTAGAAGATAAATATGGGGAAGGAGCAGTCAATTATGATTTAGATCTTGGAAATGAGTGAGTATCATAGATATAAAAAAAATTAATTTCAATTTTTACATGGAACATTGTGTTTTAAACCATGAACTAGCTTTCGGGTGGAGCACATAGTGATTTTAATAAATTGCTCTAATAAATATATTGAAAAATCAATATTTATAAAATTGACTTGGCTCGATAGGTGTTTGTCAATCTATGATCGGAAGATAAATTATTATTGTCAATTGCCAACATTTTTTATGCGATCATAATATTTCTATTATTATAGTTGTACAGGACGAAAAGGCACTAAAGAATGCCGCAGCACAGCTTTTAGGGCAAAAATTCAAAATCCAGTACTATCAGCAAGATTAAGGTCAAAAGTAACCTTCAGATATGGCAAAATAACCATTAGAGCTAAATTACCACGTGGCGATTGGCAATTTCCAGGTAATATCAAATTATATATATCCATATTCGTTATTCATCAAATTGGAATTTATAATACAATATTCTTTTCTCAAAGCACCTTGAAGTAGTAGAATTTTGTACATGAAATTTTTCTTCAATATTTTATAATGTTGTGTGACTTTAAATGCAATAAGTTATACAAACAGTATCATTTTTAAACATTGTTAAATATATTTCTGTATTGATGAAATTTGATTTTCATGTATTTTATATTAAACTTGCTTGTTAGAATTATTTCTGGAACCAGAAGATGTTCAATATGATGATCGACCAGATAGACAACTGTTTCCTGGACAATTGCACATTGCGCGCACAAAAGGACGCAACGATGTGTTATCGGCCGGCTTGGTACAAATAATTTATCATTATATTATAATTAATTTTTGTTTAATTACATCTGTTAATATAAAGCCTTATTTTAGATGAGATTCTCTATAGATCCTTACCGTTCGTATGATATGATCAACGCAACTTTGAGGAGGAACGCATTGGATGATTTTCACGATTATACGATGGAATGGACACCAGGTAGATATAACTTATATAGAAAAGAATTAAATTTGTATTTTCAGATTATTCTATCAGTATGTCTATTTTTTACAGCTAAGATAATATTATCTGTGGATGGTATTGAGTATGGTACAGTGCATCCAAGAAGATTGATGGACGAATCTGAAAAATTAGCATTTGGAACTGATTTTAGCAAAGAGGTAAATGAGCTATGTCAATTATTAAAGATGAAATACAGAACTCTACGCCAGCAACTATTATATAAAGTATTCGCCTCACTCGCAAATTAATGATTATTTGTGATTTTCTTCTTAGAAATTATAGCATTTAATAGCTATTGTCTTCAAAATTTTGAAAGCATCAAATGATTAACATTTTTATAATTATCATTTTAGGTAAATCTAATAGTGGGCTTAGGAGCTGGTGGCATAAATGACTTTCCTGATGGAACTCCAAGTAAACCATGGGTAAACAGAGATCCGAAAAACGTACTTGAATTTTGGCAAAATCGTGATTTTTGGTTGCCAAGCTGGCAGAATCACCAGGGCCAGTTACAGGTGGATTATATCAGAATATATGCATTGTAGTGCGCTGAAATGTTTCCGACTTTTTGAATATTCAGATTGGCTTTAATTTATATGAAGTGGGAATGGATTGAGGTAATAACTGTAGGTAATAATTATTTATGGATTAGATTAGATTATAAATATTATAATTTAAACATATCATAGATGAACGCATTTATTATTATTTCTATGTACGGTATTAGATATAAGATTCTTTTATTTTTAACTTGATGTTAAAACAATAAACAATTTTTAACTAAATGTTTGAAGAAAACTTAGATATAGCCTTTATCATCTCATTATATTCAAGTACAACTTTATGTATTGTATAAACATAAGCTTTAATTTGTAATTATGTATGATACATATGATAACAAAATATAATTGTTTTCATTATTATAATCTCATTCAAACATATTATACAGTTTTTTTTTTTATTTGAACATATTCATTTTGTTTTTTATCTTCCCGTAGGGTAAGTTATAGTAATCGCAAAAAAATCGAAAATAATTTTTTTTGTATACTTTACGTTTCAAAACCTTCTGAACATTTTGGGATACCTTAGAAAAGATTGATGTTTGTGTGTGCGGATACAAATTTTCGTCGACGGTTTCGGGAACACCGATCAACCGATTTGAATAATTAAAAAAACATTCGATTCGTATGGGTAAGGAGAAGTGCTGATTAGTTTTTAGCAAATGCAGGTCTAACCGTTTCGAAGATACGGGGCAAAAAGTGCGAAAAACGGTATCTCGGTTTTTAAGAGAACGGGGCGTAAATTGACAAAAAGAACTGCTCAAATTTTTGAGAATTTGCCATATGGCAGTCATAAATTATTATAATTATTAACAGAAAACATGTCCTGTTACAATTATTTCCGTTTCTGCTTATTTATCTGTTTTTTTTTTTGTTTAAGCGAAGAAAGCAACCAAGTGCGTTCTTCTAGTCAAAAGTATTAAAACTGTTTACGACTACTAGCGCCAGTGCGATGTTCATGTCTATTATCACACGTTGAATGTTCTCTATGCTCTTCTTGTACGGTTTTCAGAAAAGCATTCTAACCTAACATTTCAAAATTATTCACATGCTTTTGATATAAATTTCAAATAACATAATATAAAGCAAATAAATAAACATGGATAATGAAATGTCAATGGATGTTGAAGACGAAACAAGCAGCGAAGAAGAACATTCTGACAATGAGGGTATGGAAGAGTCTAATGAACAGGAAAATGATGGAAGACCAGATGTTTATTTACCAGGGCAGCCTTTAAAAGAAGGAGAAGAACTAGTTTGCGATGAATCTGCTTATATTATGCTACATCAAGCTCAAACTGGGGCACCTTGTCTTAGTTTTGATATAATTAATGATCAGTTAGGAAATAAAAGAGAGACTTTTCCTCTAACTTGTTACTTAGCTGCAGGCACACAGGCAGCTAAAACACATGTAAATAGGTATTATATTGATTAAACTACTAATAAACTTCAATGGAAAACAGACTCTTATCCTTCAAACACTGTCATTATGGTGTACATATATAATATTTACTTTATTGAATAGTTTGCAATGCCAAATGCTGATGTTTCGATTGCTTGTTTTAGTAATGTTTACGTTTGGAGTTAATTATATCATTGGCTTCTAAATAATCTTTCTTTGTATTTACTGATATATTCTTTTACATTCATGAAATTTCTATCTCTATATTTTTAGTTTGATTGTAATGAAACTACATAATTTACATCGCACAAGTAAAAAAGAAAATGACGATGATGATGATGAAGAAAGTGATGAATCTGATAATGAAGAAGCAGAAACTCCAAAAATGGACTTTGCAACAATCAAACATCAGGGTTGTGTGAATAGGATTCGTGTAAGCTAATATTCAAATTATGAATTCACATATTCATATTCAAAAGAATAAGATTATTTTATTATCTTTAGACAACAGCAGTTTCTGAAGGTACTGTGCTGGCTGCTACATGGTCAGAGCTAGGTCGAGTAAATATTTGGGACTTAACAAAACAGTTAGCCACTGTCGATGATCAGCAAATGTTATCAAAATATAATAAAGAAAATACTGGAAATACCTGCACTCCTATTTTCACATTCAATGGACATCAACAGGAAGGTTATGCCGTAGATTGGAGCAAAACTGCCCCTGGGGTAAGCATAATAATCAAATATTTCACATTATTTATCATTTTTAAATTCAATTCTATTTATATCATTTGTATTTTCTCATTTAGGTCTTGGCAACAGGTGATTGCCGCAAAGACATTCACATATGGACTCCTGCTGAAGGAGGTTCATTTAATGTTGATCAAAGACCATTAGTAGGGCACACTGCATCAGTTGAAGATCTGCAATGGTCTCCCAATGAGAGATCAGTTTTAGCGAGTTGTTCAGTTGATCGTAGTATTAGAATTTGGGATACTAGAGCAGCACCCTCAAAAGCTTGTATGTTAACAGCTACAGATGCACATCAAAATGATATAAATGTTATAAATTGGAACAAAAATGAACCTTTTATCTGCAGTGGTAAGTTTGAGATAAAAAGATCTGTTCTATTTTTTTATGAACATATTATTAATTATATTTATTTCTTTGATCAAACATCTTATTTTTATCCTTTTATAAACTTTTTCTAGTAAATATTTTTTTCAAATGTATATTTTTATTTAAGGTGGGGATGATGGATGTGTTCATATTTGGGATCTGCGACAATTTAAGGATGGAAAACCACTAGCCACTTTTAAACATCATACCCAGCCTGTTACAACAGTGGAATGGCATCCTACAGACTCATCTGTGTTTGCTTCAGGTATTATTTTTTTAAATTAACCTATTATATGTACTACTCAATATGTTTGTTGTATTTAAAAATCAGTGGTATCATTGCATGATTTTGTTAAATAGCCAAAGATTTCTATTAATATTAAATATGTACTTTCAGGTGGAGCAGATAACCAAATAGCTTTATGGGATTTGTCTGTAGAAAAAGATACAGAAGCTGAAGATGAAACAGATATGAGTGATGTTCCACCTCAATTGCTCTTCATACATCAAGGACAAACTGATATAAAAGAATTACATTGGCATCCCCAAATTCCTGGAGTAATACTTTCAACAGCACTTAGTGGTTTCAACATATTTCGAACCATTAGTGTCTAGGGTCCTTTTAATCATAAACAAATTTATGAAAAATGTAAATATTTTGACTCATATTTTCAAAACCTTTATATAAAACTTATAAAGATTGGCATTTAATCTATTCATGAACTGAATAAAAATCTGTTATTTAATTTGCTGGTAATTGCATTCTATAACTTCATCAGCTCATTAAATTATATAAGAGCTAACACTTTCAATTGTTTTTCAGAATGTTATTATACAAGTTAATTCTGTAAGGCCTTAAAATCTGAAATTGGGTTGTCCAGATAAATCTTTCTCTTATGCCAATTTCTTTTAATTCTTTCCTTACAACATCTTCAATTTTGAATAATTTTATTGCAATACTCTAAGAATATTTAGAGTACTGAATATTTTTTTAAAGTAATCTTAAGACTTACTTAATTTCCCATCAATGTTTAATACAAAAGGTTGGACATCCACCATTTGTGTTCCAAGAATACAATTTAACAAGTAAATTTACCTGTGATTCACAATTTTAATGATGATTGTTTCTTATAAACTCATTTTTGAAATATATTATTTATTTGTATAATACACTCTAAATACATGTCTCAATTTAATTACTGAGGCATTCAAATACAATAACTTAGCAAGCGATTCAATAATTAGAACTAAGTCTACTGCTCCCAACTGAACCAGATCGCTTTTTATTTCTATCACTGGAAGTGTCCTTCCTCCCCATTACAGGACTGCCACCAGATCCAATATTCTTTATTAAAGATTTTAAACTTCTCGCTTGATGAGAAGCATATTCAGTGAGGCTCTGGGATGAATCTTGTGCTATTATATAAAAATCATCCACCAAGTGCGTTGGAGGTGGTACTTCTATTGGTACAATATCATGTAAATTTGTTATAGGCTTCTGGATTTTGGTTTTTAAATCATATAAATTAGGATCATTGAATTGGTTTGGACTATGCTGACTTTGGCTGGAATGTTGTGCTTGCATACTAGCAAGCCTGTTTCGAAGATGATTATTTTCTTCTTGAAGTCTTTTAATTAGAGAAGCTTCTGCATCAATGCTGCTCAATGTAGGCTGTGGCATACACTGATAAAATAATAATGGATTGAATGAAATTTATTGCAGATATCAATGGAGTTAGAATATTATGCCTAATATACCTGAAAAACTGTGGCTAATAAATTATGTAGAGACACTAAAAGAGTATCTTGCCATTGTTTTGTGAAATATACTGAAAATGTTGGGTTGTCTTCAGGAGACTTTATATATGGTAAGACTGTAAAATAAATAATTTGTTACTTTATATATCACAATTTGCCAAAATGTATTGCCATTGTGCTTGATTATTTCACATTATTAAAGTAATAAAACTATAATTTATTAGTGCAAAGAAAGGTTCTCAGAGTGATTAATATGCAATAAACAACATTGGAATTAGTAAATAAGTCTTTGTTATCGCATTTTAGAAATCATTCACCAAACTGACATTCTATTAATGTGAAATAGACAATTTAATTCTATTACCAAACCAATCTTTCCATTCTGTTTGAGATTGCAGTTCTGATGCAAGTTTTGTAAAAAATTCTGTTACTTTGTCAATTTTGTTGTTAGTGACTGCGGTTACTAAATAATATTTTAGTAAGCTAAACTCCAATTTTCGAATAGCTAAAATATTAAAAAATTATGCATGACAATAACAAACAATCAAAATACTATTTTTTTGAGAATATCTACCTGGTGTAAAATGTTGCTCGAGTTTAGAAAATAATAAACTATCTAAGTGACCCCATAGGTCTCTCAAGCCCTGTAAGTCATAATTGTGAATATAACTAATAATTTGATCTATCAGCTTATCAACTCTAAATCCGCGATCTTTATCATGTTTTAGTTCATTATCATAACTTTTTAATGTATTGGAAAAACCTCTAAATAATAAATATTCTCTAACTAATTCATCTACATATTGTATATGGGACATTTTATAAAATATGTCACAATGATAATGTTAAATTGATCATATTCCACTAATTGGTACAACAATATTTTGTAAAATAAATAATTTTTTATTTGAGTATAAAATATACAAATACAAGATCTGTCATTTTCTTAATGACAATGCCAACATAAGTTATGTAGATAACTTCATTTAGATTAGACGTTTCGAAAAGATTTTATGGATTAAAAATAAACATGGAAAATGGTATTTGTGGTCTACTACAGATGGGGCTTGTGTCAAGACTAAATAATTAACCAAAATAACTTCCCGTAGGGTAAGTTTTTGTAATCATCCAAAAATCAAAAATGAAAATTTTTGCATATCCTCACGTTTCAGAGGTTTCTGAACAATTTGGAATACCTCAGAAAAAATTGATGCGTGTGTGTATGTGTGGAGACAATTTTTTGTCGACGATTTAGGGCGTATGGATAAACCGATTTGAAAAATTCAAGTAGCAATCGATTTTTATTGATAGGGAGATGTGCTGATTGGTTTTTGGCAAAGGCAGGTCCAGCCGCTTCGGAGATAAAGCAGTGTATGGAGTAAAAAGTGCTAAAATTGTCAGTTTTTAAGAGAACGGATCAATCGATTTGAATTATCCAAAAAGCATTAAATTCGTAATGATGAGGAAAAGTGGTGATTAGATTCTGACAAAGGCAGACTCAGTAGTTTCGGAGATACAGAGCTAAATGTGCAACAAATTGCAGATTTTGAGAGAACTAAACATTCGATTTGAATAATTTAAAAAAACTTTCTGCTTGTGTTGTCCAAACGATTTCTTTTGGGTAAAGATTTTTTCTTTAATTTCCAAGAAATTTTTTTTGAATATCGAAAAATAATTTGGATTTTAAATCTAGCTAATGTTTTAAACATCATTTATAAAGCTTCAACGTTATCTATGGCTTCAATTAATTATAATAATCTATTTGAAAACATTCATTATTCCTTTAATATTTCAATAAAGTACGGGAAGTTCAAGCAATTTGCCTTACGGCACGATGCCATGACCCACTAGTTATCCTTTAAATAAAAAACATCATATATTTTTCTATACTTGTTGGTTTACATCTACAAAATAAAATACATTCCTATCTCCAAACCATTTTCAAATTCAGAATTCAAACATGGCGCCAAATTCAATATTCCTCTTGTGGCCACACTGTTTTACTCGCATATGCCCATCTTTTTCTCCACTCTCTTATGCAGTACGCCACTTGTCATATTGTCAATATTTTATAACAGAAGAAAGTGTTGGAGAGAAATAATATATATTTTTGTAGTTAAGTACCTTAAAATAGGGCGATGAACGGCAAATAATTCTAAAATTATAAGCGTTCATTCGCCATACAAAGGTGCTTATTTTAAAGTGAATTAGTTCGTGTGTCTCAAGTGTCAAATCTCGTACGTCCTGGGCAGTTTTGAATGAGTAAGTAGAATTCATAAGAAACAATAGTAATTGATAATTTATATGTTTTATATTTTTATGCACGCGGGTAATTCTGTTGTTAATTATATACAAGCTAATTGTGACAAAATTTATAAAATCACATTTTTTAAAAATTTATTTTTCATGCGATTTTTTTATATTTTGGGGTGTATTTACGTGTTTACCAGTTAAATTTAATTTTATTTTTATTCATGTTATTTAAAATTCAAAGATGTCATCTTAAATCGTTATTTATTTGGTTTGCATAAATGAGGTTAAAGAAGTTATTTTGATACTGCATCGTATTTGGATTAACATGTCAAGTTCAGCAAGAAGTAGCTCGAAATCTTGTCATATATATTTTTATTCATTTTTTAGATAAATCTTTGCAAAGGGCTAATATAATATTTTTTTAGCTATAGATTGTTTGACAACTGGTGCATTAAATAAATTATTTTTAGTGACGAATCTGATGCAAGGTTTACTCAATTATAACATCAACTTTATCATATCACCAATGGAATATCATATTAATTATTAACAAAAATGTGTTATAATTAATAAATGATCAAAAGTGGTGAAAAAAAAATTATTGGAAGAACAAACTAAAATTTAGGTTACTAAACTTTAAGTACTATTCGTACTTTCAAATTTAATTTTATAATGTGATCAAAACAATTGCCCGCCAATTTTGAATAAAGAAAATATCATTGCAAAAACAAACTATTGGAGTGTGACATCGTGCCTTAAGGAAAATTGCTGGAACTTTCCGTACCCTAATTAAAAATCTTACTACGAAACCCAAAAATTTACACAAAATGGGTACACATTATTAAAATCTCTATAAAATATCTGCTAATTTGATGTACATATGTCTAAAAAACATTTTTGACCGCCAAATGACATTTTTTTAACTTATTTTTATTGAGAATTCATAACTACTAAACCTGCCTTTCCAAAAATTCCATCAGTTCTTTATCTTGTCAATACAAGTAAAATTTTTTTGAATTATTAAAATCGGACGCTCCGTTCTCCTAAAAACTGAGTTACCGTTTTTAGCACTTTTTGCCCCGTATCTTTGGAACGGCTAGACCTGCCTTTGCCAAAAACTAATCAGCACGTCTCCTTATCAATACGAATCGAATTGATATGTTTGTGTATGTATGTGTATATATGTGTTTTTTGAATTATTCAAATCGGTTGATCGGTGTTCCCGAAATAGTCGATAAAAATTTGTATCCGCACACACACACATATACACACATACACATTCACACACATACATCCCTTTTTTCTAAGGTATGCCAAAATGTTCAGGAACATCTAAAACGTAAAGTTATATAAAAATTTTAATTTTCGGTTTTTTACCATAGGCCTAGCTAGATTAATTCACCATCAAGTACACATTTTGTAAATGTGTAAAATATTGTCCAGGACTTCAACAAATAATTGTTTATTCATAAACTTTACTTTCATACTTCATAACTTCATATATTTACATACTGGTATTTTAATTAATGCTGTTAAAATTCAAGAAAACGACGAACTTCAAAACCTGGTGTCTATCTAAAGTAGACTGTGGTATTAGATCATTAATTTAAGGATTAAAAAAGTCAGTGTGACTATGTTCGACTTAATACTATTTCAATTAACTTTTACAAAAACTCGATAAATTTGCATAAATTATATTAATATTCATCTGTGTAAAAAAGTCAATACTGCAAACAATTCAACGCATTTAAAACTAAATTATTCAATGGCTTCCTTCTACTTCACAACCAGCCAATTCTGGCCAGTTGCAAATTTGATTCTCTTTGTCAAAATGCAATCCTGGTGGGCAAATGTGCTGATGTACTTTGAAGGATCCATCTCCTAAAGGTATGCATTCGTAGAATGTTGTGCAATCTGTTGGATTTGGGTATAATCCTTTGGCTTCGCAGACAATTGGTGAAATTTCAGTAGTTGTCTCTGGTGGGGACCTGAAAATTGAATAAAATCATTAGCTATCCACATGCCTTGGCAAGTCTTTCTAATAAAATATTTATACTGAAGTTGCAGTTTTCATTATAATCTTGATGATTGATTGATACTTTATTCTGTTAAATCCATTTTACTCACTCAGTTGGTCCAGTGCCAGCAGTGGGTGTGGTGGGTGGTGGGGCTGTTGGAGGGTAAGTGACCTCATGTCCGTGTAAAACCCTGTTGATCATTTTTAACATTGGGTATTTTTCTCCATGGCACAATCCTAAGAAATCATCGGTTTCGATACTCCATACCATGGCTCCTGCTAATCCTTGGTCGACGGCGTATTGAGTCTGAAATGTGAAAAATATTTTTTTAAATGATAAAAAATATTTGCAGTTTACTGATTTTGGAAGAGATAGCGAGGATCCATTTTTGGTGGTATTAGCAAATCTTTGCACATCATTTCTATCTTTTTTCATCAAATTCCCTAACCCTAGAGATGATTTTCTTGGACATGGTGGTACTAATATTATGCTTTTGTGTCTTCACATATTGTGAAGTAAAATTTATAAAAACCAACTGTATTTCATGAAAAAAGAGGTTGAAATGATTGCATTTGCTATTTTACTAGAACGTTTTTCATCTTGAAAGTTTTTCTAAATTCCGTGATTCAGAAATTGTATGCAATTATTTTTTATTGGTTGAAGATAAACAACTGGAAAAGGTCAATTGCATGAGAAATTTATTCATCAAATATAGCGTATTAACGACATTTGTATATGCTAAATTTTTGCATATTGCACACGCCTTTTACGGATTCTTTTTTATTTCAATCATCTTTATATGGAATTGATATGTGGGATAATTTAATGCACATTTACTCTTGGTCCGACACAAACCTGTTTTATTTGTCAACCTACAACTTAATCATAATGCATTAAATCAATCTTATTGCAATGATTCAGTTTAGTTTTTGAACAAGGCTTAAAGGGTAAGGGATTTTTTAAGGAATTTGCAAGGTAGTGCAATTTTCTATGTGTGTATTTACATACTGGTTTTTCATGATCCTAGTACAAACTTCAAATTTTGTACCATATTTATTAAAAAATGTGAGCAAACGGTTAAGAAATTGGAGTGCAGCATATTGCATTATGTCAGATGCAATGCAATGAGGTTATTTAATTTATACCATATAAGGGACTTTATGATTATGTTATACCCAAATATGGGCAAAGTATCTGCGCATCTTACGACATATATATCTTTGCAACGCAAATTTGATTTAATAAATGGATTTTTGAAATTTTTGAAGAAATCCTTAAATTTGCTCTTCATTTTCAACTTGGACTATATAGCAACTGTGTCCCAAATTAGAATATCTGGAGACGATTAGGACGGTGACTTAATTCCAGTGTATTTAAAGCGTCATGAGACGTGCCAAGGTCGTTATCTTGTTACGAGAAAATAGTTACTGCACATTCTAGTTTATATTTATCAAGGTTGTGTCCGCTATGGTTTTGTTTCAGAAATTAAAATTGATATATAGATAGACATTTAATGTTTAATTTGAGTTCAATCTAAAATCAATATGTTTGATATTTCTAAAAATAGCGAGGCGCGCTTCCGTGATGTATTGAAAGTGTGCTATATCATAAATCTGTGTCGAGACGATTATTGGTGCTGATACAATTTGAAAACCAGATTCTTGTAGATTTTTTTTTAACTTCTTGTATGGTAAGTTATAGGAATCGCAAAAAAATGAAAATATTCGTACATCTTTACGTTTCAAAGGTTTCTGAATATTTTGGCATACCATTAGAAAAAATGGATGTAAGTTGTGTGTGTGTGTGTGCTTGTGTGCGTATGTTTGGATACAATTTTTTGTGAACGATTTCTGGAGCATCAATTAACCTATTTGAATTATTAACTTTTGATTCCTATTAATAAGAAGACGTGCTGATCTTTTTATGGCAAAAACAGGTCCGCCCTTTTGGGATGTATACAGAGCAAAAAGTGCTAAAGATATCAATTTTGAGTTCGAAATATAGCAAAAATAATGGACTTTTCTTGATAAATATGACTTTTATAAATCTTTTACAATCTGTAGCTCTCCAAATATTTACAGTTTCGACCAATTTTTTGTAGGGTTATATATACAAACTGCTTTTAACTATTATTATTATTTTGAATTCAATATTCGTATTTCATTATTGGTTGCAAATAATTTTATTGTATGATAGACTAATTTTATTGACATTTTTTTACTTAGTTTTTTCTTTATCATAACGAAAGTTGTTAAACTATTTTTAAGCAAGTTTTTGTTTGAATTTTATAGTTGATCTTTAAATCCGATACTTGAAATTCTTGAATTTATTTTCACCAGATCTATTTATTTGAGATTTTACTGTAGATAATGATGTTGGATTCGATTGTTAAAAAAATATTTCTATCCACTGACCTTAATAGAGATACTGCGCAAATCATCATATCCAAACCATTGGCTTCCTTTGACTGCAAATGGAGCCAATTGTTCATCTTGCCAGTATTCTGTCCACCTATCGTTGCCCATTTGAATTTCACAGAACTATAAAATAAAATAAAAATTGAAATATTTGATAAAAATTTGTATACTTTCACAGAACTATATAATCAAAAAAAATATTTTATTGAAGTAAGTGATAAAAATGTGTATGCTTCATAACAAAGTCTGCAAGGGTACATTTGTTTTTGGAAAACCTTAAATGCAATCTTTTCTTAAAGTTTTTGATATGCCTGGTTGCATTTATATGGTTTGTTGGATATCAAATAAAATTAGTACGCTAATACAATATGTAGATAATTTTCTATTAATTTTCTTTATCTTGTTGCAAATTTTGAAACATTTGTCATATTTGTTGATGACGATTATATTAGTTTATGATGATTATCAGTAATTTATTATTTTTTACCTCGTTGTATCCCATAAATCCAGGTTGTCCTGTGTAAGGACCACCTAAGCCAGCTCCGTAAGATGCTGATCCAATGGTGATGTTTTT